TTGGGTTTTATGGGGTCCTATGGGGTGATATTGGGGTCCTATGGGGGATATGGGATCATATGGAGTGATATTGGGGTCCTATGGGGTGATGTTGGGGGGATATGGGCCACTATGGGGGAAGACTGGGTTTTATGGGGTCCTATGGGGGGATATTGGGGTCCTGTGGCAGACGCGGGGGGAGATTGGGGGCCTATGGGTTCCTATGGGGGGGATGTGGGGCGATGGGGCCCAGAGCCCCGACCCCATAACTTCCCCCCCCTTGCAGAGCTGCTGAGGGCTGCAGGATCCAATGGCCGTGGGCTGCTGGTGGCCAAAGGGCTGCTTATGGGGCCGTCTGTGGGGCCGTCTGTGGGGTCGGGGCCGTCGGGGCCCCCCCTGGACGTGTGGTGGGTGGTGGGCGATGGGCGCCTGCTGACCCTGTTGCCCCTCCTGCTGCGCCAGCACCCGGTACGTGGGGGCTTGGGGGGTCCTGGGGGTCCTATGGGGTCTGATGGGGTCCTGTGGGGTGCTATGGGGTCTTATGGGGTGCTATGGGGTCTTATGGGGTCCTATGGGGTCCTATGGGGTCCTATGGGGTCTTATGTGGTCCTATGGGGTTCTATGGGGTCCTATGGGGTCCTGTGGTTCCTATGGGGTTCTGGGGGGTCCTGTGGGCTGTTTATTATGGGATGTCGGTGGGCTGTTATTATGGGGTGTTTATGGCGTTTATTATGGGATGCCCGCGCGCTGTCACTATTATGGGATGTCACTATTGTGGGCCTGCAGTCGTGGCGCGGCTGCCCGGTGCGGCTGTTCACGGTGGCCCTGCTGGAGGACAACAGCGTGGCTCTGAGGCGCCTGCTGGAATCCTTCGCTCGGCGCCTTCGGCTCCCGGCCAGCACCGAGGTGGTGGAGCTGGTAAGAGAGCGGGACTGACGTCGTCGCCGCCCACGTCGTGACGTCACGGCCCCCCGTCGTGACGTCACGCCCCCCCCCCCCCCCCCAGCACGACAGCGCCGTCTCCGCCTACACCTACGAGCGGACGCTGATGATGGAGCAGCGCTCGCAGATGCTGCGGCAGATGAGGCTCTCGGTGCGTGACGTCATCGGCGCCGCGACGGCGGCGCGGTGGGCGGGGCTTCGGCTGAGCGCGGGGGGGTGGCGCTGTGACGTCATTTTCAGGCGCGGCACGGAAGCTCCGCCCCATCGCAGAGCGGCGGCGAGGAGGAGGAGATGGGAGGGGGGAGCGGGGCCAAAGTGACGGGGCCGTGTCCGTGAGTCGGAATGGGGGCGATGGGGGGGACT